TCGCTCTCCATATTTAAAAGGGCACCAACCAAAAACTACTGCGTCGAATTAGTTGGAATTTTTCACACACAAGCCTTGCTATATGAGCTCTCAAAGCATATAAAAATTATACGGCTTAAATGTGAAGTTGGGTGCAAAAGAATACTATTAAATCCTCTGTCGGGAAAAAACGAAATGACTTTCCAAACAACCCGATAAGTTCGTGACGATCCTTTGGTATGGGCCAACAATCGAGAGTAGGGAACCATTTAGCTCCAGCGATACTGTCTAGTGTGTCGTCGATTTGGGGTAATAGGTAGCTGTCTTTCAGCGTTACGTCATTCAATTTCCTGTAGTCCACACAAAATATCGTGAAACCATCCTTGGGTACCAGCACTACAGGGGAAACCCACGAACTTTGAGATGGTTCTATAACCCCTTGTTTATGCATGTCTTTTATAAGATTATTGACTTCCTCTTGCTTCGCCCAAAGAACTCTTCTAGATGGTTGCTTGATGGGTCTTGCTGATCCAGTGTTGCGGTGCGGTGGTACGTTAAATTGGTCATACAAAAATCTTGATCTGAGAGGGCGATGTCGTCGTCTATTCTGACTTTTACAATGGTCTTGGAGTGACTCGGCAGTACTCGATCTTCTTCTACAGTCACCTTATAGGCGACAAACTTCGTCTTGGGATTCGACATAATTATCTCTTGTCCGTCGATACGCATCGTGGAAGTGCTAAAGATTTAAGTCGATTCCATGTTCTTGCTGAAAGTCCAATTCAATGATGACATCATCTACTATGTCTGCCTCCAACGCCCAACTAAATCTCCCGGTAGTTGTTGGTCAAAGGTCGAATTCGCCGTTCCGATATCATATCAGAGTGAATGATGGTGTTAGATGCCTCTGTATCGATAACCATTCTAGCATTTATTGATTTATAAAGCCTTCTATAAATAACCAGCACTTCAGACGACTACTATTATACTTGCAGTTTTGAAGAAAATTACCAACCTTCCGCATTCCCAACACTTTTGGTTCTATTCTCCCGTGTTTCGAGTAGTGGCTTTCTTATCGATTTCTACTTGTCGCGCTCGTACAACCTTTGGAGGCTTGTATCGCCACTTCAAACTCCAGGGCGTGTGACAGTGCTTCACTTGGGGTCTTGAACTTGCTGTAGTTTGGCGTCCCTAACTGCATCGACAAATGTTTCTACCGCCAGTTGGTTTATAAATTCTTGAGGGGCAGAGGGGTAGGCCAATCTCAAGAGGCGCTCCACATCGAACTCAAATTGTTGAAGTCTCGTTACTTCTTTGAGTACGGCTTTTCAGTTGCGTCTGATGTACCTGTTGTAGATGTTTATCGCCGTACCTCATTTCTAGGCGGTTGACAAGATGGTGGAAGTGATATTGTTGGGACTCAGGTATTCCTTGGAGTGTATCCAACGCATCTCCTCGTAAAGAAATGATTAGTACTATTACTTTCTCTGACACAGTCCAGGAATTTGCCTCTTCCGCTACACCAAACTCCTTTAGGTAAACAGTCCACGAGATCTTTCTTGGAGGTGTAATTTTTGATGACCTTGCACTGGAATCTATAGGTATTGAAAGAAAGGGTACTTTCAGTTTCTTCTTTCAGTTCTCTTTTTTTTTCTCTCATTTCTTCTATCTTCTTTTCCATTATGATTTCCCTTTCTCTGATTTTCTTTTCCGTCTTGATTTCTCTTTCTTCTATTTTCTTTTCCTTCTTGATTTCTCTTTCTTCTATCTTCTTATCCACTTCAATTCTAATATTATTTATTTTGTCCTCCATTCTCGTATTTATTGCTTCCTGTACTGCTTCCATTTTCTTTTTCTTGCCCCAGTTTCATTTCTTCTTGTCGCTGTTTCATTTCTTCTTGNTTAAAATTTTCAGAAGCGTTACTTTTTAAACGATCGTCAATATTATTTACTAACATACTAATCTTATTGTTAGCATTGAATGTTTCATCAATAATGACATTATCATCTTCGATTAAATTTGCTTTTTCTGAAGCAGAACTTTCATAACCAAATTCTGCAGATTCTCGAATTAATTGCGATGACAAATTTGATTTTTGCCTTGAATATGTTTTACAGTAAACATTGGGAACCGTTCTTGACGATACACTTTGAAATTTATCAACAGAGTCATTATCAGAAAAAATACTGGAATGCGGAGATGAATATACACTAAATGACGGTCGTGAATCAGACCGACTTATATTTCCATTAATTAATTTATCTTCAAATCTGTCGTTTTCTGAAGAATTAGCAATAAACTGCCGATGAGAAATTTTATACATTTTCTTAGCATCTAAGATGGAATTATCTAAAATAATAAAAGAAATAGAAACAATCGCAGTGCAAGTTTATAAATTACTACCTAAATTATAACTCTTACTGAAATCATCGGGATGTTTGGTGTTATTATACTGAAAAATATAAGAATTATAATACGTACATAATTTATAAAATTCAAGAAAAAACCTTATTGCCAAACATTTGAGGTAAAATCTCAAGTTCTAACTCCTTTAATTGTGGGCTCTCTAATAATGTTAGTGTTAAATGTTCATTGGCTTGATAAGAAGAAGGATAAACACACAGACAAGGTGCTTCAAGGACGAAACGAATTATTTTTTCATTGACACTCATTTTATCCTTCGACTTCACACTAAAAATTAAATAAAATGGAATTTATACATATTTCTGAAACTTAAAATACAAATAGTAAACAAATTAATCTCCCTTGTTTTAACAATTAAATTGCAATTGCATTTAATGTGACATCATCAATGGCTTCAACATGTCTTATCGACGTATGTTGCTATAGTTTAAGAAGCTACATTACTTTTTACAAAAGTATGTCGTTTTGTTTTCTGGAAAGAGGTCAATAAGTGAACTTTTGAAAACATAACAGAAATTAGTGTTTGATCATTAAATAGTGAACACATTTTTCTAAAAACATACGAGGCTGTTTACAGAGCCTACACAAAGTATTCAAATATAAAATACAAAACAGTTTTCTTATGCCAGGCATAATTTTAAAAAAGTAAAATTTCAAAATAAATAACGGTTCACTATTGTCTGCGATCATACATCGATTCTCCAACAAAAAGCTAACGTGTTCTAAATGCAGAGTTAATAGCGAATATAATTTAGAATGAATAATATATACGAGGCATAAAAATAGAATGCATACATTACAACATTAGACAAAATAAATAACACGTCTTGAATTTGTTATTGTGAATTTTAAAAAAGTCACACATGTATACTATTATCAAGTTATTTTGCATTATCTTACTAAGCAGTAATAAATCATTTCATAATACTAGATCGACACTTGAAGGGAAAAGTTGTGCCTTCACGATTCAGCGAGTAGCTATCTCAGAGTATCAACAGTGCAGTTATCTTTGTGCATAGACATCAATGTTAAGAAAAATTACTTCCCTCCTTCTCCTAGTGGAAACTACAAAAGTCTTTAAAATGACGTAGCCCAGAAGTTTTGTAACCGTAACAGACTTAATCACGTATTCCACAAATGTACATGCAATCGCCACCAATGCAATCGATCAAGTCCAAATACGCTAAAACTATCGCAAATATTATCGGTCCTGCTGAAATTAGGTTCGTCTCTAGAATTTCGAACAATAGAATATGCATGTACGTAGGAAATAAGGAGCTAGCCGACGAGCTTATCGAGAAACTCAAATATATGGGTCTAATATTAATCCATTGTATTCGAGAAATAATAGGATTACATCCAATGTCCATGCATTCTAAATGAAAAGTTAGAACATACAATTGTAATTGAGTACATCAGACCGGTATCAGATATTATTCTCCTTAGAGTATGACTAGATAAACGCACATACGTAAATTGTTTGTCTTAGTCGTTAAATGCATATCAAAACTGACGAACTCGAAAAACTGCCTGACTCTATCCAACTAACCTTCGAAGGAATCACAAATTGCATTTATTTGTCCAGCGACTCAATGTCCTGTTTTTTCTGCAAACAGATTAGCCATCAGGAAAAAACTATCCAAAATCTGCCACTGAAAAGATAACTCATACGAGCATATGATCTCAACCAACCAAAATTAAGTCCGGATAACAACCTCTCGAAACACCTCTCAGCAATAACAATGCATATAATAAAGAATCATCCAACAATTTACTGACGCTTGCAAGCTCTATTTCAAACCAAGATTACACCCAAAAAACATATATCCATGATTCCGATTACCTCAACGAAAAGAGGCCACTCTGATATTGAACCAACAGTATCCGCCAAAAGTTGTATAACTCAGCCACCTAATGAAAAGCATCTAAACTACTTTAAATCAAAAAGTCAAACAAAAAACAATTATCAAAAACTAGCGACAAAAAAAAATACATTAGAAATACCAGAAATAGAAAAAGAAATACAGTTCAATACAAACAAATGTCCAGTTAACTTTAATTGAAAAACTTCCTAGAAATAGCCTTCAAGCATGACAAACCATTAGAACTAGTAAAAGATTTCAGCGATGATTTCTAGCTCATAGAAATGATTACTGATTTACGCTCAAAATTAGGAAATAAAAGCGCAAAAATCGATTCAATCGTCTCATTAAAAAACTTGACATAACAACAGATATATTAGATATATACTCTCCTCAAGAATCCTATACATCAGAATCAAGTATGGTCCAGCTTCCAGAGCTACCATAATCCCAATGTAATTAAGTCATATCCAACAAATATTCAACTCCAGATAAAAGTTTCCATATTATACAATGAAATATAAATAGATTTTATACTGCATTTCAGTACATGAAACTACTGTTAAATAATTCATTTTCCATTTATGTCCTCAAAAATAAATACCAAAAAGGTGTATTATTTTTATCAGAAAAAAGAATTTCCCAAACTGCGTGCAAGTTGAAGAGTCAGCACACTAGTCCAAAAAGGCCTTCAAGCTACAGAATCCCTACTTCAATCTACCGTAGAGGCCATAAATGGTGAACAGACTATAAAGTATCAGCAAGTTCCACCTCTCAGTATAGCTTGTAAGTTCACATAACAAAACCAATACTAAGACTAGAAATATATGAGTAAGATCAAGACCAAGACCAAGACCAATATCAAAATTCCAAAACACTAGAGGAGAAGTTCAACAAAAAGAAAGAAAAACCAAGCGAAAATTCAAAAACTTCAGAGAAACTATAGAAAAATTGACAAAATTAAATGAAAATTCCACAATATTAAAAGAATATTCCGAAGAAAAGATTAAAGAAAATTCAAGGGATTTAGAAGAAAAAAAAAGCAACAGCATTGCAAGAAGATTTACAGGTAAAATTGCCTGATACAGAAAATAAATTTGAATGTCAAATTAAGGAAATTGATACACATCATAAACTACTTTTTTTTCACAATTCAAGACAGCTGCGTAGGTCAACACTTGGACACTGAAGATGAAAGCCACTGCACTGATCTGTGTCTTACGTGATGGTTCTGGAGAAATTTCAAACACATTACGACCTCAGGAATCAAGAGATTACCAACAGGCAGTAAAGAGGTTGGAAATGCGATACGACCAGAGGCACTTGACGTCAATCGATCACCTCCAACTAAGAAAACGGCAACAAAGGACAGGTAAAACTTTGGAAAAATACGTCTATTAACCTGTTCATCAACTCTTGTCGATACATTAGCCCGACCACTGGAGTATGATATTAAATAGGCTTCCCAGAGACAAGGTAAAGCTAGAGAGCTCCAAGAGGAGTCGATTAGATCAGAGAACGACAACCTTGACGGAATAGTAGAGCGAATGAATAGGACCACTAGCAAGTATTTGTCCAAGATGGTCTCTAAACATCAAACAGACTAGAATCGTTATCTGCCATTGTTTCTCATAACATACCGATCATCGATCCATGAAACTACTGGACAGACACCAGTAAGAGTACGGTTTGGTCGGAAGCTGCGACTACCATACAGCTTAAAGTTTGTCTGTAATCCTGGCGATAATATAACCGAAGAAGACTACGTCAGTAAACTCCAAAAACGATATACATTTCCACATGCAGATAGCTAGGGACCCTATGAAAAACACCTATGTCATGAAGGCCAGTAATGGAGTATTTCAAGAAATTCTGGCGTGGCTGTATAACTCACGGCACCACGGTCTATCACCGAAGCTGCAACAACATTGAGAAGGTTCATACATAATCGTCAAGCGAATAAATGATGACGTGCACCGAATGGGAAACCAAAAGTCGTCTATTTCAACCGATTGGCTTCATACACTAGTGACAACCATGAAGATGCTCGGATTAAAATTATACAGGCTCGATCTCCGGATTCCCTGTGTAAAAAATTCATTAAGGGACCAGAAGCTGGCCATCGATACCATAAAGGATGGACAGACCTGGAGAGAAGTTATGTTCTGATACACCGAGATAGAGATTTTAGTATGCATTGACAATCCGCGACGACAACCCGCCCATTTGAAAACCATAAATTGCTACTTCCACTTGACAACCTTTGAAAAAAGGACAGAACATGATTTGGGAAGGATCATCCCTAAAAAGGGGGCAGTGTTACGTACAAGTATGAAGTGAAAATTAATACAATAATTTTCGACAGTTCAAAGCAGATTTGGGAAACTTTATGTTAAATATTCGTAATTCTTCCCTTAATACCAATGAACTGGACTATTCAAGCAACTGAAAGGGGTGAAAGTGTTTTATTTATCAATAATCAATCATTTAAGTTGTTTGAATAGTCCTGTACTTAGTTTTAAACATGCGAACAGTTATCATACCTATGGAGTTGCTGAACAATAGCAATTCCTGAATTTTCGAGAATAGAGTATCCCAGAGAATTCGATAACAGTATAAATAGACCTCTGGATGACAGTCTTATTTAGTTTGTATGTGAACAACTGATTGTAATATAAATAAACAATGGGATACGAAGAAATATAAATGTAGTGACGAGTATATAAGCAATATAAATAAGAAGTAGTACAAGTGATTAGGTAGCGTTATAGTGTAAAATAAATATCTGTAAAATAAGTAAGCTTTAAGTAAACATATAGTATCAGAAAATTCGTTACAATACACTGATTTTCCACGGTTCTAGACAGTTTGGTGTACTTTGGCGTGGCTTCTTAAATTGGTCTCTAGAGTAGCGTTATATCGTTCAACCATTTCATCAAAGTGTAGATATAAGAACGTCGTCCTGGTTTTTAAGTAATACCCATTAGTTTAGTGAAGTTCTTTAACAAAGCCGATTCGAAGTTCCTGCCTTTGTTGGAATGCAATTCTAGTGGTACTCCATAACTGTCAATCCAGTCACTGACAAGCTTCTCAGCAACGGTGTGTGCTTCCTCGATCGGTATCACATATACTTTGGGCCGCTTGCTAAAGTAATCCATGACCACCAAAATATATCGGTTACCTTCCCCTTCTGGGTTCTTGAATTATAGTAGTCACTTCAGGGAAGCGTGATCCATTCTTAAGTGGAATTTCCATCCGTGCAGGTACTTATGGAAATGCTAAAGGGTTTCAACCACAGCCAGTAACACTCGACGAGTGACACAATAATTTCGCTCTGGTTTCGAGAGTTTTACTAAAGTACCCGATAACTTTTTTTCTTTTTCATCTTGTACTTGGAATAACACA